TTTTTATGCTTTTTCTGGAGTTGCACTGTTTAATTGGCCCCGAAACCACATGCCTCTTTCATAGCTATATTTTTTATGTTCTGTATGGTTATATTAGTTATAATGATATGTGATATATGTAGCATAAGCAACACTACTGTACTCTATGTCTGGTGCATTTTATCTTGAACTCATATTTGTAAAAGACAAAGAAAGAAGTAGTTAGGTTCATTCAGAAGTGTGAATATGTGAATAGTATTGTGTATGAACAAGTCTACTCTCTTGGCTTCAGAAGTGGACCTGGCTTTTAGGCCAATCTACAGACTAATCACCTTCAAAATAAAAAAAACAAAAAAATGAGACTCTGTTACAGGCATGGTCACATAAGCATTTTTATCACTAACAAATCTTGTAGCTGCACACTAAAGTCTACTTGTTCTGTGTGGACCCTGGTAACATGGTGACAAGACTATTGCTCAAAGGAATCCATTCAGTAAGCCTAGAGGATACATGATCCTTCTCACAGAAGAATGGACTACTATTTTGCAAATATGATTTAAGAAATGAAAGAACAGGCTGATGTTGTTAACAAGATGAGAAAGAATGAGTGTTTATTGTGATTTTTCAATTGGTTTCTAATTTGCACCACAACACAACTGTTTAAACAGATATGGCAGTGCACCTATAGTAAATTCATAGTAAATTTGATGCAGTGAAAATAACTACAACTCAAAAGGTTTAGTACTTAAAACAGAATTATAAAAGAAATTATGAATGCAACAGATATAATAAAAAACATAACCAATAAATTTGATATTTTTGTTTGGAGTAGTTTCTCTGCTGTTTCCTTAAGCATTCACATCTGAATGATAATGTTTGTGTACAGAAAACCAGCCCCTGGACATAGAAATGTGGGCGATTCCAAGGAGTCCATGCACGTGATCAGGTATTTGTTGGTCATAAATCACTCTTGCGAGCACCCCTCAAGACTTACCACGGTGAATTCATTAAAATCATCTAAAGAGCTCATTCCTTTGCCTATAATATTCTGTTTGTGCAGTGGAGCTGCTTTCTTGGTATTGATTGAGGCTTCCACTGCCATGGCTGCAAAAACAAAAACACAAAAAAAAATAATTAAAAGATGTTAAAACCAAAGAAGAAGTGTGGCAACCACAGAACATGATATACAAACACAAAAATAAATAAGTATGTACGCACGCATGCATGCATACACACGCTCACATGTGTGAATACAAACATATATATCAATCACAGATCTGTTATAATAATTACAATTAACCCAATACTGCTGGACAAATGCTGTGCTCATTTTTTATTTTTGGGAAATGTTTCTGCACACAGATGGCTTTGCTATTGCTTAGATGCAAAGAGTCAATTAATAGCCCTTGTGACCTTACCTGATTTTACCTTTCCTTGAATATAAACATAACATAAAATATTTTCAAAAATCAAGGAAAAGGGTAAATGGGCAAGACAAGTAGTACTAATAATTGGCACACTGGTGACTTAGTACAAGTGTAGCCATCTATTTGTAAAAACAATTAATAAAAGAAACTCACTGTAGGCATGGCATGTATGTACATGACATGCCCTTTGGCTTTGGGTTAAAACTGGAATCACACATGAATATAGATACATTATATTCTAACATAATAAAACTGCCCTACCTCTGCCATGAAGATAGTAACCACGCAGTTCACATATTGCTTTCCATCCATCCTCTTCATATGCCATATGCTGTGGGTGGGGAAAGGGCATGGGAATATCAGTTCAAAATACACTGATTACAAGAGTAGCATCTGCATCAGCAGCAAATATTAAACATGATTCCTCAATTATGTAGTGAAATTATGTAGTTAAAGAATATGAAGGAGACAATGTAGATTTTATATATATATATATATATATATATATATATATATATATATATATATATATATATATATATATATATATATATATATATATATATATTATATATACATACATACATACATATATACATACATACATACATACATACATACACACATACATACATTCATTTACAAATGCATATATGCATGTGAATATATGTGTGTGCTTATGTCTATGTCTAAATATAAATATAAATAAATATATAAAATTTAATGTATATATATTTAAATATATACACATCAAGAAGAACAATGTTATTCTACTTGCAATTTGTTCAACATGAATTCCACAAAATACACACACATTTCATATATATATATATATATATATATATATATATATATATATATATATATATATATATATATATATAAGGAAAAGAAAAGAAAAGAAAAAAAAAAAGATAAAGAAAGAGCTTTGCCTTCGACTAACCACAAATCCGAAGTCCTTGCTGGTCACCACAACTGCCTCAATGACAGGCCCATATTGAGAAAAGAGGTAGTGCAGGTCTTCCTTCGTCGTCGCTCCTGCCAGATTTCCACAAAATATCTTGAACGTCTTCTGCACCTCCCCCCCGTACATT